GGAGAAGGGAAGGGAGGGAGAAGGGAAGGGAGGGAGAAGGGAAGGGAGGGAGAAGGGAAGGGAGGGAGAAGGGAAGGGAGAAGGGAAGGGAAGGGAGAAGGGAAGGGAAGGGAGAAGGGAAGGGAAGGGAGAAGGGAAGGGAAGGGAGAAGGGAAGGGAAGGGAGAAGGGAAGGGAAGGGAGAAGGGAAGGGAAGGGAGAAGGGAAGGGAGGGAGAAGGGAAGGGAAGGTGGGGATGAGAGACTCACTGAGGGGTATCATGAGGCAGTAGATAATCATGGCACCAGGGTCCAGGGTGTGCTCAGAGCTCTGTGCTGGCCTGTCCAGGAGAGGAGCGTGCTGCCTGGTGGGTCTGTCCTGCCTTCTTCATCTGTCTGACTTGAACTGGGTGGTCAGAGGGGTAGGGAGAGGAAGCACTGCAGAAAGAAGTAGAAGCCACTAACCACAAAGAGAAGAGGGAAACTACACCCTGGATGTTGTGTGTCTGTCCTGGCTTCAGCTGGGATAATTTCCTTTCTAGTAGCTGCTATAGTGCTATGCTTTGGGTTCAGTAGGAGAAGAATGTTGCTAACACACTGATGTTTTCAGGTTTTGCTAAGGAGTGCTTAGACTAAGTCAAGGATTCTTCACCTTCTCATGCCCAGCCAGCACGAAGGCTGGAGGGGCACAAGAAGTTGGGAGGGGACACAGCCAGGACAGCTGACCCAAAGTGGCCAAAGAGGTATTCCATACCATGGGATGTCATGCCCAGTATATTAATTGGGGGGAGTGCGGGCAGGAGGATTGCGACCCGGCCACTAACTGGGCATCAGTTGACAATTGCACTGTGCATCACTTGTATATTCCAATCCTTTTATTATTACTATTGTCATTTTATTAGGGTTACCATTATCATTATTAGTTTCTTCCTTTCTGTGCTATTAAACTGTTCTTATCTCAACCCATGAGTTTTACTTTTTTTTTCTGATTCCCTCCCCCATCCCACTGGGTGGGGGGGAAGTGAGCGAGCAGCTGCGTGGTGCTTAGTTGCTGTCTGGGGTTAAACCACAACAGTTTCTTGGGGATGTCATCACATTTTCAAAGAGCTTTTCCTCCTCACATGCTCTAGATCACCTTTGGACTGTCTCTTTGCCCCATGAACTCTGAGTCCCTTTTAGTAAATATGTCCTAGCAAATTGGGAACTGAAAGGGTTTCTTGGTAAACCACTTGGCTTGCAACAAGTGTGCTGTCACTAGCTGAAAAGGCTTGTAGGAGGCCCGCCAGATATCCTAGACCTTGGCAGTCAATGTGGTGTTAGCTCCCATCTTGCATTCAGAGGACCAGGAGTAGGGATGAGGAGGTATCAACGATCTGAGCTGCCACCGTCCCCTGTGCATGGCATGGTTTTGGGAGGGGAGGGTGCTCTGCATTGCTCAAAAAGGAGAGAGGAGAGGAGAGGAGAGGAGAGGAGAGGAGAGGGGAGAGAAGAGAAGAGAAGAGGAGAAAGAAGGAAAGGAAGAGAGAAAGAGAGAAAGTAGGTGTACTCTTCCCAACATTGCATGAGCAAAGACATTTCACCCAGCCACCTTGCTGCTAGGAAACAGCAAAAGAAAAAAGGAAGAAAAAAGAATTGTGCCATCTTCTTGAGACTCATGGTTAGCTGCACTATTGCAGCAGTTCCACTGATGTCCCCTTTGGCCACAGAGCTGGCACACTTGACCACTTTAATCTTCCTCTGCCAATTAAAATGAGGGAATGTTTTGCTTTAGCTCTTAAATTGGGTGCAGGGCCACAGGAAATGATTCATGGGAAGAATACCATGGACACTGCTTTGGTCGTCCTGAGGGGAAGAGGATGCACTGATCTTACCTCACTTGCCCAATTCCCAGCTGGATCTATTGGATAGCCTCTCTGATCCATGGAGAGAGAGAGAGATGCAAGCCCTTTTCATACTCTCCATGTTTATCCATCTCTGCTAACCGCAGCAAACACCCTGGCAAATCCTTTTTCCTCCCAAAGGTAGGCTAACATTACTCAATTCCCTGTGAGACCTTCACAGTCAATGAAGTGAAAGAGCTACCTTTGCAATTT